GTACTCCATACAACAAAGTCCGAACAAACGCCGTGCAAATGCCACTATAAATTCGGGAAAACGTTCATCCGATCAAAATGACGCTTCTATCAACGTCACTGCCGCAACACCTTGCCCATATATACATTCTAACAACCGAACCCCTGACTATAAACACAAAGTTCAAGCCTGCAGCAAGCCCCACGTTCAACGAACCTTGGAATACTTTAATTATCTGACTCAGAACGTCCCATGACCCTTTCTGGGGATGGACCTCGGCTGAGGGGAGATCTAGCGCTGGTCCGAGATCACCCGCCAGCGGAGTTCGATACTTCGCTCCGAAGTTCGAGTCCCGAAATATTCAGAATATCCCCGGAGTAATGAGCTCCCTGGAGAAATTAGGCTTTTCTGGACTGTTGTACTCCGTAGTCTACGGGTAGATTGTGTATAAGATAATATTATACATTGTAGCTAGTCGAACAAGGCACGGGCGTTTTCTGTACTTTCTCTCCCCCTACATTGTACGATCTAATTCTGAATCTAAATGTACCGAGTATAATCACAAGCCGTCAACGTTATAACTTGGACAAGACATGTGAAATCTGATCATTAAAAATCTGGGGTCATTCATTCCGCTGAGAAGAGAGCCGCCCTTGTTGCCGAAGGCCTCGGGATTGTCGTGAAGCGCCCTACATTTTGTGCTCGGTACCAAATAGGACATAATTATTATACATATAGAGATCTCCCCTCGGCAAGTCCTGAATCTGTCACCTCTTTTTTTTCCCTTTCTTTCTTCTCTGGTCTTCTCATCTGTGCGTGATCATACTTCCGTTCGTCCAGCTTCCTCCGCTTCCCCGTCATAGCTCCCCACAAAGTTTGGCACCGTTGCCACTCGCCTTGAATCATATACCCTGGAACTTCGCCTTTTCTTTCCTGAAAGATTAAAGATCCTTGCAATTGATATCTTGATCTTCCTTTCAGATATACCATCTCTTCCAATTGTTCGGCTTATCTCCGGAACGGTATACTTCCGCACTTCTCCACATTCTCGGCTTTTTCTCGCGACAATCGGAACATCTGCGAAACTTGATTTCCGACATTGAAGGATTCCTGTGAAATCTTCGTGAACAAAAGTGCAATTTCTCTGCAATTTCTCTGCAATTATACAAAAACATATCGAAACAATGTCTGCCAAAAATGTCAATCAGCAGAAGCGCACATCGCCTGCGGTCAACTTGATCGGTATGTAGAATAGACTCCCCCTGTCGGGATTGTGTACAGTTATTGACTTATGCCCAATTAGCTGGTGGTGGTGCCGGTATGATGGAGGCTCTCGTGTGCCATCCTCTAGACACAATCAAGGTCCGCATGCAGCTGTCAAGGAGGGCCACAGCACCTGGGGTGAGTTACGGAATTTGCCATTCGACAATCAAAAGCCATTGCTAACCATTTTCGCTGGATCAGGTTAAGCCGCGCGGGTTCGTGGCCACCGGTGTTCAAATCGTGCAAAAGGAGACCGCTATGGGTCTGTACAAGGGTCTTGGTGCCGTGCTGGGTGGTATCGTCCCGAAGATGGCCATCCGATTCACCTCATACGAATCATATAAGGGCATGCTCGCCAATAAGGAGACAGGCGCCGTGAGCAGCAAAGCCACTTTCCTTGGTATGCGAAGCGTTGAAAAAAATCGAATATGCATAATGGAAAGCTAACAATCCCTAATAGCTGGTCTTGCCGCCGGTGTTACCGAAGCCGTGGCCGTTGTCAACCCTATGGAAGTTATCAAAATTCGTCTGCAGGCCCAGCACCACAGTTTGGCCGATCCCCTGGATGCCCCCAAGTACCGCAGCGCCCCGCACGCGCTTTTCACCGTCGTCAAGGAAGAAGGCTTCAGCGTCCTGTACCGCGGTGTCTCCCTGACCGCCCTCCGACAAGGAACAAACCAGGCCGCCAACTTCACCGCATACACGGAACTGAAGGCTGCCCTGCAGCGCTGGCAACCCGCCTACAGCGACAGCCAGTTGCCCGCTTACCAAACCACCATGATTGGTCTGATCTCCGGTGCCGTCGGACCCTTCTCCAATGCTCCCATCGACACCATCAAGACCCGTCTCCAGAAGACCCGTGCTGAGCCTGGTCAGTCCGCTGTCGCCCGTATCATGGTCATCGCCAAGGATATGTGGAAGACTGAGGGTTACCGCGCTTTCTACAAGGGTATCACCCCCCGTGTCATGCGTGTTGCTCCCGGCCAGGCTGTTACTTTCACCGTCTATGAGTACCTCAAGGGTAAGCTGGAGGGCTCTAACTGGTCTTTCGTTGGTGGTAGCTTTGATGAGTAAATGTGCCAAAATGTCTTGTTGTTTTCTGGAAAGCATTGTGATACCTGACCTGGCATGGTGGGAGTTGCATTCCCTGTTTCGCGCATTGGACTCTGGAACAGAACTGTTCATTGCAAGCCGCTTGAAACGGCTCTTTGTGTAAATATTTTGTGCTTTGCGTTAGTTCTTTTCTATACCACTTTGGTGCGCCTTGAGCTGAAATAGAGAATATTCAAAAACCATTGAAGAGTCGTTTGCCAGTGTAGTAGTTTGGTGTTGAGGGTGTGTCCATGAATGACCCGGTTGTAGATACACCAGTCAATGCTTGTGTAGCGACCACAAGAACACAATCCCTACGAGTTGAAATAGCACGAATTGTTTCTTCTTTCTGTATTAGACTCGTTAGATGTCGAAATAAAGCCCAACTGGGCAGCCCTGACGGCTGACAACGCGCTATCGGCCCCTCATTATTCACCGCTTCTCCCCTCATAAATAACAACCAACCAACCCAGCTGCATCCTACAGTGCAGCATCATGCAGTCAGGAATTACAGGTGAGACATTCAAATTACTTGATCTTGAACTCTGAAAAACCCCATTGACTTCAACACTAACAAACGTCTAGTCTCCGCGGAGCTGAAAGATGCATTCGCCCGCTTCAACTCCGACCCCTCAACTTTCTGTCTGCCGGCAACTATTACAGCAGAGACCCTAACGCCGCTGGCCCCAATCTCCTTCCAAGGGAGCCCCTCGGAAAATGCCTTCTTTTCAGCCCTCCCCCAGCTGTCCTCCGTCCTCCAGCCTAAGACCCCCATCTACCTCCTTCTCCGGCGCCCATCGACCGCCGCCTCGACTGCTCCACTCATCGCTTTGACCTATATCCCGTATAATGCACCCGTGCGAGCAAAGACCCTCTTTGCCTCTACTCGCTCGACGCTGACCCGCGAGTTGGGCACGGAGAAGTTCACTTCTACCGTCTTCGCTACCGAGGAAGACGAGATTCTGGGTCAGGATGCGTGGCGCGAGCGTGATGGTGAGGGCCCCAATGCTATCTCCCGTGAAGATATGATGGGCGAGAAGGAGAGGGAGCTGGATGCTGTTCGTAAGGCCGAGGCCGAGGCACGGAATGGCACCCCCGGGAGAGATATTGGCATTGGTGGCACCTTTGGACCTGCCTCTGGCTCTGGGATGAGGGTTTCTCTGCCGGTTCACGAGGAAGCTAAGTCTGCGCTGAGGGATCTACGCCATGGTGGGTTGGTACAACTGGTAAGTTATACCCTGGCTCGTGGTCCTTCTTCGAGAGGGCTTGTCCGGACCGGTGAGATTTGAGGCTAACTTCAAGCAGACTGTTGATATCCCCACGGAAAAGATTGTCTTGGCCCACTCTCACTCTGACGTTGAGGCACACTCTGTCGCCACGCACATTTCCTCCTCTTCGCCGCGTTATTCTTTCTATCATTACCCCGGGTCCGATGTCGTGATTTTCGTGTACACCTGTCCCACTGGATCTTCGATCAAGGAGCGTATGCTGCACGCTAGCTCGCGGAGAAATGCCATCGCGGTTGCTGAGCAAGAAGGACTCAAGATCGAGAAAAAGGTATGCGTGCCCCGTTGTGGATGGTCGTTTCGGATGCTCACAAATAGCAGATTGAGGCCTCTCACCCTGACGAGATCACCGGTGATCGTTTGCAAGAGGAAGTCACTCCCTCACGAGACCAGGGTCCTGCGCGAGGATTTGCGAGACCTCGTCGCCCCGGCCGGTAAATCGCTATTGTATAGATAGGCTATATTCTTGAGCCTCCGATCCGATAGTTGTAGTAAATATAGCAGCACTGTGCTTGACTCGCCAGGTTATTGTCTAAATATTGGTAGATTCTTGTTCTACCAACAAAGGTAGAATTGGATCAGCATTGATCGGATCCTCATATACCCCCTGGAAGCGTACAATTTTCACAGATAGCCTGTTCATATATGATGTTTTCTGGATATCCGTAGCCGTGGCCAGTTTTCCAATGCAATATAATGCTCTCAATTATTCTTGGTGTAGGTTGTGTGAGTAACAGAAAGAATCATTCGAGGTCACTAGAGCTGGAAACATGACTGGTGATTTCCTAATTGATTTGATGGGCTCGACTTGGGGGTATAAAAGGGCCCCCTTCCCCCAAACTCTTCCTCTTCTCTTCTTCTCTCCTCCACATCCCTCTGGATACCATCTCTCCGTAGCCCCATGAGATAGCGTCGGCAGAGGGTCCCGTAGCACATGCTGCCTAACCTACCACAGGGACATCAACATCATCATGTTGTGGAAGTCCATGTAGGTCAGCAACAAATATCAAACCGGGCTTTCTCGTGGATGTTCCTGAAGTCGTGGCTCTCATTGCCACTTGACGAGTCCCACGGAATACATGAGGGGTGTAAATCTCCGTAGCCGAATACTCGGAGGTAGTCACCCTGGCAAAGGTAGTCACATCACTAGAGAGAATAATTGATTGCTATTATACTGATGTCCTCGCCATGTTGAAGTAGTTTGGGATGAAGCATACGTGGATATTTGTTATCATATTGCCTTAGACAATCCTACTGAGCTCCAAGACGAATCTCACGTACACAATATCAAATCAAGAACGAAAACTCCCGGGTATTTGTCAGTTTCGGCCTAAAGAAACATAACTTGGCATGAAAAGGTCGACTATGGTCGACTATAAACTAATAAATCACAGTGTCCTCGTTATCCTCAACGACCTCGCCTCCGTCATCATCTCGGTGGGCATCATGCTGATCTTGAACAGCACTTTCCTCCACTTTGGCAGTGGCTTCGTCCGTTTTGACTAGATCGGGAGTTTGGCCATTAGTGTCTACACCTACCGTGTTCGGAGCACCTTGAGCTGTTTCCTTGGACTTTGAATCTGTCGGATCTGCCTCGTGCTCTGGAGCCGATGGCTGGTCTTGAGGACCACCTGCTTGCTGCTGCTCTTCTGACAATTGGGGCTGTTCTTCGTTTGCAGGGTTTTGTGCTTCAGCCTGAGTTGGTTGTGTCTCAACCAGCGTTGGCTGTTCGGGTGCAAATGCCTCTGGTGGATATCGGGCTTCGAACTCGGCGACTTCTCGGGCAACAGTCGCCTCTGCTTCTTCGATTTGCTGGTTTATCGTTGAATCGTCGCCAGGTCTGGGTTGCCATGGTTTGTAATACTAAAATAAATTAGCTGATGGCTACAATATTATAAACAGCATACATAACTCACCAGAGCCGGCTCTGCCTGTGTCTTGAAGAAATGTGCCATAGCAAGCATATTCGAATGCCGTGTTTGCATCTGAGAATGAGAAGAGTCAGTAAAAATTTAATCACCATATACCCCATTGATATATAAGTGACTAGAACATGAACATACCGCTTCTCGCTCATACAGAGGAGTTTCTCTTCTGCGAATCTCATCCCGCTGTTCCTTTCGCCGTTTCTTCAATTCACCGTACTCGGCATCCTGCGACTTCAACTTCTCTTGCTGCTTTTTTTCAATGTCAGCGCGACGTCTCTGTGCCGCGGAACTTGAGCTCTGCGATAGAGTACCAAGCAGCCCCCCGAATAACCGCTGACCCCGCTTGCGATCCTCATCTCGACCTGCGCGCAGTCGCGTAGGCTTTTTCTCCACAGACTCATCTGTCGCAGGTGGAGGGGATGACGGCCGGTGCCGCTGAGAATGCGGGGAGGTATTGTCTGTAGAGCTGAGTCGTCGGCGCTTAGTGTCGTATTCTGCAGTTGAAGACTTTCGTCGCTTGGCTGTCAACTCCGGAGACTGAATATTATCCTGGCTGGGAACGGCCACTGCCGACGCGAGTGTCTCGGGGCTGTCAAAGTAATATGCGCGTTAGCTAGAGCGCTCCAATTACAATGCGCGCGCGTGGGTTGCACGGGGTGATGAAAGCTACATACCCTTCAGACATGGTGATCGGCAAACAACGCTGGTTGTAAGAAGGAAACAAATTAGTGGAAGAAATGAGCGACGTTAAGTGCTCCGATCCGGGTCAGATATTGGAGTTGTTCAAGAGGCGCAAAATAACGAGACATGTTGCATAGAATCACATTACTTGAAGTCACGTGCACCTACCACTTAGTTGGGGCGTTCACCGTCGGCTTTTCTTTTTCTCCTCTTACTTCCCAGCGAGTGCCAAATCATACCTCATTCCACTTTATACAGCTTTAATATTCTCATTTGCCTGTTACGCCACTTAAATCACAATGTCTCGTCACCACCCCGATCTCGTCATGTGCCGCAAGCAACCCGGCATCTCTATCGGCCGTCTGTGCGACAAATGCGATGGAAAATGTCCCGTCTGCGATTCCTACGTGCGCCCCACGACTCTCGTCCGCATTTGCGACGAGTGTTCTTTCGGTAACTACCAGAACAAGTGTGTGGTCTGCGGTGGCGAGGGCATCAGTGATGCGTTCTACTGCTTTGAATGTACGCGTCTCGAGAAGGATCGCGATGGATGCCCCAAGATCATCAATCTGGGAAGTTCGAGGACGGATCTGTTCTACCAAAAGAAAAGTTTCAGGAATCAATGATCTTCAAGAGAGGCTTGTGGCTTGGTGTCCAAGTGGAGGGGAGCCAAGCATGAGTCCGGCGGGTTTACAATGTTCAGCCTAACGACAAAATGACTACAAGCTTTACAACTGCGAGCACGTGAAAAACATCCTATCGGTGGACTATTCAAACCTGCTCCGCGAATGAAGGATATCAACGAACATTTGGACCCGAATACAATTCAACGAAATGTCCCTGTGCCTTGGACTGCTTTTGCAGCATCATGCAACAATACCCGACAAGCTGGCAGGCATGGTGGCAACGCGCGCTGTACTATCAGACCTCGAGGATTCGCAATCAATACAGACGATTTGGCGACTAGGACCAGCGGGGCTCTAGGTGGAGCAGCTGGACTGGAAGCAACACCTGCAGGGTTCGTGACTGATATGTCTCGGTCTCGGTCATGTTTCGTCGATTACCTAGATGGGTATGGCATGACCCAACCCCCAAATATGTGGCTTCAAGGCGGTCTTCATAAACATTATGATGGGTGGGCTTTGATTGAGGGTCCCTATCTCCAATTCCAATTCTGAATAAAGCCATTTCCCATGCATATAAATTCTGCCACTGTGATAATTTCCGTCTGCTATTATGTAATAACATCCTCGACTTTTGTCAAACTTGATCCATTCTCCGTTTCCGTGGCCACCCATCCTTTCTTGAACACCTATGATCTTATCAGACGTCCTTCCTTACAATGACAATCGTCTATTTCGATATTTGGAAAGTACTGGCCGCCTAGAATAGACGAAGAAAATGTAATTTGCAACAACTCCACTTGCACAGAAACATCTGTCGGCGTCTGTATGTTGGACTGTTTGTAACCGGAAACCACTTTCATCAGTCGTTCGAGCATTAAGATGTCAGTCTCAAGTCCAGCGACTTTTGGATTATCCTAGCAACCTACCTAGTCCGTTCCTTTTTGCATCTCTTCACCGTCTAACTTTGAGTGCTGGCAGCAATGGTGCGTATATTCGGATTTGAGATATTGGCAAGCCGGGTCGTTTCCTACGAAGCAGCGCCTCTCGAGGAAGGCATGAATCTTTCCTCACCCGAGCCCCATATGTATACTTGCAATGCAGATTTCTATCGATATTTTTGTATTAGTCGTACGTCAGAGCTAAGAATGAACCTCCAATATACGTGTGGGCTATGTACATACGTGAACATAAAATGTAGGGTTTATAGAGTATCTTGGCGCCCCACTAATTGTTTCCAACGTGCCGAGGCACACTTGGGAGGGTATGTCATCTCTTCGGCATGAGGTCCTCTCCGGGCTAGCTTCATGCATGATTATATATCTTTTATTACTCTGACGCCGGTTTTCCTTTTGGTCTGTATCGGTCTCAAGTTGTATAGATGTATTTATCGACTTCACCTGATATGTGGGGTTGCACAGCTACGGGATCAAATCCCGCATTTAGTGCGGGTGATCCGCACATAACATATGGTATTATTACAGATAGTTTCAATTAAAACAGCAAATCCAATTAATTCGAAGTGGATGGACTTCATTCAACCGTATTTGATGGTATTGGTATTACACTGTGGACCCTCGGGGCCTGATCCCGGGTTGTACTTTAAACGCTTGGACTCTAAATAGCCCAGACGGTGGCCACGAATCTGTTCTCCGCACATAAACATCCCTTTCCCTGCAAACTGAACTGAAGACATAACTATCATTGCCTGAATCAACTCATCATGCCAGTTGACAAGATCGGAGTATCGGGTGACTCTCGTATTGAGTATAAGACCGCCACACTCAACGGCCATAACTACTGTGAGCATAGCATACTTTGAAGAAGATATTTCCCGGAATGAATCCGAACTGACGATTTTCAGCTTACCTTCTCAGCCAGCCTGAATCAGGGGAATACGAAAGCACTGTCTTTCTAGTAAGCGGCTAGCTCAATAAAAAAGCCACACACGTTGACATATATTCTTCATAGATCCATGGCTTCCCCGATCTCTCTATCGGATGGCGATATCAGATTCCCATGATCGTAGACATGGGTTTCCGAGTAGTAGCTCCCGACTGCCTCGGATACGGACGAACAGTGAGTCCTTCTACCCTATGTATGGATGATGGGAATGAATTATCATCTAACAATTCAACAAGGACGCCCCAGACGAAATTGCCCCGTATTCCCACAAAAGCTGCGCAGCAGACATCAAAGCCCTAGCAACCCATCTAGGCGAAACCCAAATCATCCTAGGTGGACATGACTGGCAAGCAACACCGGGCAAACCCCCCCTTTCCTCCAGAACCACAAAGCTAATACACAGAGCAGGGGCGCAGTACTCGCCTACCGCGTTGTCCTCTGGTATCCGGAGCTAGTAAAACACATATTCACAGTCAGCGTGCCTTATTCACCACCCATGACCAAGAATATCTCTATCGAATACATGGTCCGGAACTTGTCCCCGCACTTCGCGTACCAGCTACAGTTCAAGAGCGGGAAAGTGGAGAAGGCCATTCGGTCTAAGGATGAGATTCGGCAGTTTTTGATGGCGCTTTATGGAGGTCGTACGCAGGCGGGTGAGGTCGGGTTCGATGCTAATAACGGCGTTTTGTTTGACAAAATTGGCCAGTTGAAGCCGTCGAGGTTGTTGAGCGACGAGGTAAGTTGGGCTTAGTTGATTCGGGGTTGGGGGTTTTATGTTGACTTTCTTTCTCTAGGAGTTGGACTTTTATACGGATGAGTTTGCTCGCAATGGGCTTCATGGACCACGTATGGTTTTTTCTGGGTTCGTTTGTCGGACGCTTGCTAATTATCTCAATAGTTAATTACTACCGCACTGGTGACTTGGACTATGACGATGAGCTTCCTATTCTCGATCGCGGGGTCCAAATTCCTACCCTGTTTATCCAAGCGCTGAGGGACGAAGCTCTGCCGCCTTATTTGGGTAAATCTATGAGACAGCAGGTTCCACGGCTGACCCTGGAGCAGGTTGATACTTCGCACTGGGCTCTGTGGGAGAAACCCGAGGAAGTCAATGAGATTATTAGGTCTTGGTTGAATCAACAGTATTTTGCCGATGGAAGGTCTGGCAAGCTCTGATTGAAGGAACGATAGGTACAGTGGCACAGTGAGAAGGCAGGATTGATTGATTATTGTGAAAATACATATTTCATATCGGAAAAGTAAAAAGAACATGCGCTTCATAACAAGTCGAGCCAGCATAGCTGCACAGGCTGGAACTCACCCCGTAAACGATCAAAGTATTTAGTACTGGAGAACCTTGGTGTCAATTATGCAGCCGACCCTCTCTAAGCGGTCCACGTAGTCCTGACCCAGCGTAGCGGGAGTAACAATGCCACCACGCGAGACCTTCTTAATCTTCTCCTCCTCGTTAAGAATAACCATGGCAGCCTCAGCCAGCAACAGTCCGGTAAAGGGGTACATTGCGCCGTGGTAAGTGATCTTACCGAAGACGCGCTGTACCGGAGCACTCTCCGCAGTAGCGATGGCATGGTACTCGAGAAGGTCATTTGTCGAGTCCTCTCTGCGCGGACCACTGCCAGGGGCAAAGACGAACTTCTTCACCAGCCAGCGCACCGGCGACAGCGCAAGCAGCGAAAGTGCAACCAGGAAGCCGATGTGGATGGCGACGCCAACCAGCGCGTTACGGACCGACAGGAACTGGCGGAAGACGAATTGCTGCCCGTACAGCTCTGGCATCAGGCTGCTGCTGCGTTGCACGATGGTTATATCGCAGATACCAGACGGGGAGGTCGTCACGGTACCCAGGTCGCGAATTGAACGCACGCCGAAGATCTTTTCCAGGATTGAGTCGTGGGGGATGTTTTTCGGTGGCGGGGATGCTGCCAATGAGAAGGGAGTCATTGACTTGGATAGCTCGGACATTGAAAACCCCTCGAAGATGGTTAGAATAGTATTTATGGTGCCGCCGCTAGGACCGGAGGATCTGTTGTGAATGGATTAGAAATGGGTTTCTTTGTGGACATGAAATTGCATACCTCATCTCTTTGATGGTGCTGTCAATCTGGCGGGTTGAAGACGCGAGGTCCTCTCGGACTCGCTTAACCAGAGACCATGCCAACAGATCAGCAGGGGCACTCTCGACACCGTTACAAGGGATCATCTGTCCGCAATTAGTATGAATATATCTGATAGGAATTGGGTGCAGAACGAACAATAGCGCCATTAGCCTTGGCGGTCTCGTGGTACTTCTCGATGATCAACTTGATCCAGGGTGTTTCTCCAGAACTGTTACGATCAGCAAGTGTTCGAATCAGATATGAAGCAAAACTTACACATCCACATAGTGAGTTCCATTGACAGCGCATGCCTCCACGACTGGGGTCGAGTACAAGTGGTATGGACCCACACAGTT